ACTGGAACACCCAGGTCAGCACAAAGACAACTCCAAGAGCAATGTATGGTATCAGTTGGTTTGTTCCATGATCTGAAATAGCAAATTATGTCAAGAGGGGTTGCTGACATCTTGATTCATGACCAACTTATTAATCTTTTACAGAATTCATGACTGAAGCCCAAAATTAATGGAAAAGAAAAATTTCACCAAAGTGAAGGAATGCATCCTTCTAGAGTTCACAGCCAATTTGAGGTTACAAAGATGACTCTTACATCTTCCTCATCATTTATGTCATCAGCCTCTTAGGAAACAGCTCCCGAATTTCTCTGACCAGAGCCCACACAAATTCAAAGGGTGGTAAAATAGATGACAGTTTTGAAATCAGGATTTGGGAAAAATTGTGGCTGCTATTCTTGCTGGGGAGCAATATACCACATAGATTATTGGTTTGTGGCTTGTTTTACCATTTTCTATTTTAAACATTAAATCTGTGATACAAATTAATGTGATGAATTGATACATAATTACATTGCACTCAAAAGTGACAATGCTGATTTATTATTGGCTCTTCTAATGGAATGTTCTAAAGCTTTTATCAAATTTATTTAAGTACCTTGTTGAAGACTTTGTAGTTACTTGAGTAAAAAATAGAAGTGCTGCAATTTGGAAGTTGTCAAAACTGAAATGGAACACATTAAGATCAATAACCTAAGCATTAGTGAGCTGAAATGGACTGGTTTTGGCCTTTTTGAATGAGACAACCATATGTTCTACTATGCTGAGAATGACAAATTGAAGAGGAATGGTGTCACAAAGAATGTTTCAAGATTTATCCTGAAGTAAAATGCTGTCAGTGATAGGATAATATCCATATCCCTAAAAGGAAGACAAGTTAATACTACTATTATTCAAATTTACCCACCAACCACCAAAACATGAAGATATTGAAGATTTTTACTAACTTCTGCAGTTTGAAATTGACCATACATCCAATCAAGATGTGTTGATTATCACTACTGATTGAAATGCAAATGTTGGAAGCAAAGAAGAATCACTGGTAGTTGGAAAATATGGCCTTGGTGATAGAAATAATGCTGGTGATTGCAAGGTAGAATTTTGCAAGACCAATGACTTATTCATTGCAAATACTTTTTTTTCAACAACACAAATGGTTGCTATACACATGCACTTCACCAGATGGAGTACACAGGAATCAGATGAACTACATCTGTGGAAAG